AGCTTGTCTCAGTTACAAATTCCTATTGCTCAGGAGAGAATGCTCTGAAGTATTTAACATCATTCCTTGGTAGGTGGGTGGACTTGAGTGATCCAGCCCCAACTCCCTACTTGGAATTTCTATTGCTGTAAAGCTAAAGAAAATATGTGAAAGTTTAGAATTGTGCTATAACTTGTGGGGATCCCTTACAAAGGGAAACTAGATATGCATAAGGGAAACAAATCTAATACTGAGGGCCAGTTGCATCCATTTCAGTGCCTCTAGGTTGGTATTTTAAAGGCCAGACAAAACAAAGATGAGTTTTAGTTATGTACTTCAGTCTCTTGGAAAAAAAAAATAAAATCTTAAATTTGGAGTATTTTAAACTATGGACAAATGTCTCTGTCAGGGTCAGAGTGAAAGGGAATGAAATACTGTGCTGATGCTCATAGTCTGCTCAGAAAACAGGAAGTTAGTGATTTAAAGCTACTCTGCTCTTGTTATTTGATCCAGTGGGTGCAGATCAACTCACTGATTCACTTCTCTGCTGGTTCCACGTCTGACCTTTTGAAGGAGATGCAATTCCAACTCTGTTCTCGTGTGGTCTAATCCACCTCCCCCAATCACCTAAGCACACTCTAGCATTGTTCTGGTCAGATTTGAATTCCTACATGCGTTATGTTCTTGGAACAGAGTTTATGGGCAGTTAAGATACTGTTCCTGTAAACTCCTTTTACAGTTGATTCTGGTACTGAGAGCATGCAGGAAAAAAAAGGAATGGGCTTCAATGTGTTCTTCCCATTTACTTTTCTTCTGTCCTCTGATACATGTATGGGAACTTTAGATACAAGGATAGATACCATGAATATAAGGGGAAAAACTGTCTACATTCAAAATAAATATAGATGGGCTGATTAAATCATTTGCAAGGTACTGGGTGGGTCAGCATGAAGCGCTGATTTTCAGTAGGTTGGGCAATACCATATCTTTCCCTTCGTGTCCCTGAGGACAAGCAGACCTGTCTGAAAGCCTGACTCGGCTATGAAGAAATTGGGTGATTCTTAAAGCTCTGGGTGAGCACAACCAGGGTGGGGAGCTTGCCTCCCATGAGGGTTGGGGGCAGCAGAGAGAATCTGCTTTGGTTTGGGAGAGGGGAAGCTTTACTTCATGTGATTCTGCAAATTTTCAGTGGTTTTTTTTTTTTTTTTTTTAAATTAGGAGACTCTTTTCTGAAAGAGAATTAGTCAGGATCCAAGACTTTTCTTGAACCGTGAGGACCAAGGTATGAACAGGAGCCATCCTGTTAAAGCCTCACCTAACACTGGAAAATACTCCCGTGTCAGTACTCCACTGCAAAGTTTCTCCTACACATAGGAATCACAGCAAGCTTTTGTCATGGGAAGTGATGCTTTACAGCTGTATATTCTTTTTAATGTAGTTTAACACTGAGAAATGTGGAAGAACACAGCAAGTGTTCTGACGCAAGCCAGTTCTGCATGCCATGGTTGAGAGCTGCAAATCTGATTGAAAAAGTTCAATCATGTGAAGTGGATATTTTAAAAGTACTTGTTAACTCTCCTTCTGATTGTTATTTATGGGCTGCCTGTTGGATGTATCAATCCTAATCATTTGAGTTAATTTAAGGGGAGAAAGTAGGTATAACACCTTTTGAGGAATGTTTCATAGATCCTTAATTAAAAGCCAAGATGTATTCTGAATGTACATACGGATGAGAATAGAGGGTTTTTTTTTAAACACAATCTTTATTCTTTAATGTTATCTGATGAAAGATGTTTCAGATGAATATATGTAGACTGTTTTAGAGAGTGGCAAATATTTTTTGTAATAATTTCACTCAACTGTTTAGGTGGGTAGTTTCTAAAAAGTAATATTATAAACTGGAATATTAATAATAAAGAGAAAGTCTTTAATTGTGGCTCCGTTTAAGGTAGAACACTGCATGGATCTTCAGTGCCTCTTCCAGTTTTGTGTTGGGGAGCGACAGGGATGGAAGATCCTTAGTTCTTGTCAGTTTATTCACCTTGTGAATATTATTAATAAAAATGCCTGTTTGAATATTATTCTAAAACCTAGGAGGTTTTAGAAGATGGAAGATTTACTGCCAGTATTATTAAATATGAAATCACAGAAGTCTTTCAAACCCCTGTAGAAATTGCCACATCAAAAGTACCAGCCAAATCAATCTTGTAGTGCTTTATTTTTTTTGAAACATGTATGTTTAGAAAACCTTCTTGTTTGTTTTTTTGAAGTCCTTAAACATTATTTGTATCACCAGTGTTCATAACTATCACAGTGATTGAAACTGGAGAGGGAGGGATAGGTTATAGCGGATGGAAGAAGGGAAGGGTTTGATTCCAGCCTTCAGAAGTATAACCTTGGAAGTGAATAGGGAGGTGGAGGTAAATGCTCAATTGTTTCTCTCCAATCTATCTAGATAAGTTGTACTGTCTAGGAGGTTTGGCTAAAGGGATAGTAAATATGTATTCGAGTATAAAACATGCTTGCAACTGAAATCCTAGTGAGTATTTAGAATGGCTATTTAAGTCTGTTCTGACATTAGTTAAGAACACACCAAACTATTTTGGTCCAGGCTTTTTAGTGAAGGGTTTTTCTCTTAGGTGAACATACCTCTTGATCTCTTTTTTCGTAATATTCTATGATTCTCCAATAATCCATAGGCATTGATGTGGCATTTGATTTGCAAATTGTTGCAATAACATTATAATCTAAAAAAGGACGTTTCTTTTGGTTTTCGTTAGCAGCTAGAGATTCAGGGAACCCAAACAATATTTGTAGTGGTGAAACTCGTGGCCATTGTTACTTGTGTAATTATGATTTCAAGAAGGAATACAGGGTTTTTGTTGTTTTCTAGAAGCTCTGTAGCTGCTAGATTTTTTCTTTTTTAATCAGCTTTCTGTATATTGCCTGTGACCATTTTTTGCTGACTTATTTGGAGAGCTCTTTATATTCCAGTTACTGAGGGGTTTAGTTCAGCCAATAGACTTTTCATCTACTTCTCTACTTTGATCTAAGTTTCTGTAATTTGTTCCCCTCTGAGTCGTCTTTTTTTTTCCTACAGTCTTCTCTTAGTAGTGCTTAGTTTGGTGAAGTTGGGAATAGGCATACAAAGATTTGTCTGAAGCCAAAGCACTGTGTCCTTTATGTAGGGCACCAAGTTTTGTAGAAAAGGAAAAGGTGAAAAAAAAAGTTCTGTTTGCACTTAATGCATTGCATCCATGGTGCAGAAAAAAAGCTGATGTTTTCAGTATTGTGAGTAAATAGTTCTGTGATTAATAAAGTTATGATCTCCAGACTGTTCAGAGTAGTCTAATCTAAATGGTGCCTCTAAGCTGTGTGACATACTGAGGATGAAGCCAAGATCTGAGTCCAGTCCTTTGGTTTGGGATTCTCTTCATCAGTGCTTGTGTATTTTGGTTTCTTACTTTCAGGAGTTAGAAGATAAATGGAGTGGGCCAGGATTAGAAGATGGGCTACTAAAGGACATGCAGTGGTTGGAGATTGATTTGAGAACAGTTACAGCTGAATAAGATACTAATGGCTTGATTGCTGAGAATTGAGCAGTAGCATTTGACATGAACCTTTTTGATAGCTGTAGAATTGGTACTAAGAAGAGGGAGAAAGAAGAAGAAATTATACTGCGTTGTGATCTATTCTAGCAATGTTCTGTATTCATTCACAGTGTAATCTATTGTATATTGATAAAGACATATTAAAGAAATGATGTCTGGAGCGGAGCATTCCCATGGAGAGTTCAGATCTGAATTTTGAGGTTTCAGCCCTTCAAGAATATGTTGTGTATAACTTTTCTGTACTAAGGACCCTTGTCCAAGTACTTAATGTTTATTTAGGAGATAAATATATTTTATTGCCAAAAATATCATTTCAGTATTAAAAGCTTGGTATCTAATGTAGGGACTTCAAGCAGAGTGGTTACCTATCCAAGCATTCGGCATTAGTATGAATGCAGCAGGTTGCACCAGAAACATATTATCAGAAAAAACATTTGATTACATGCAAAATAGGGGGGATTTTATTAAAGGATGGTTTGCAGAACTGAAAGAAGAGCCAAAAAGAAGCTTTGTTAAACTTAAATGGTTCAGTCTGATCAAGCTGAGCCTAGACTGATCTTTAAAAGCTTATTTCATTCTTCTCTTCTCCTCGAGAGCTCCTTGAAATAAGCGATACCAATAGCAAGCTCATTGAGGTCAAACTTTTATAGCATCTGGGAAGACCTAAATAAATTTTAAGTATAAATGGTGGCCAGTACTGTACTTTTCCTATGATAATCCTAACAGGTGGAACCCCACATTTTAGTAGCAGTAATGCTAGCTGTATATTTATGAACATTCAAATGTTTGCAGGAAAGCTTTGAGGACTATTTATTTATTTAAATATATAGATTGTCATAGACTGGGGGATTGTAGATTTTTGTATTACTAATTATTTTGCAGTGATAGTTTACAAGATCTCATTGTGCTTGGTGTTGTACAAATAAGAAAGGTTTTTTGTTCTGAATAATTTATAGTTGAATTCAACCAAGTCAAAGGTGTATGAAATGATTTTCATAGAAGGGATGGGAAAATGGTCACGTAGGTGCATGGATGGGTATCGTAGTGCTACACTTTTGATGATGCAGGTGCTCAGGGGGAGTACACTAAGTAAGCTACTCCGTGCTGTGGGTATATCTGTTGATGCACAGAGTATGTAGGTATTGCAGCTCAGATGATGCAAATATCAGTATAATTGTGGCCATAATAAGCTTAGTCTCAGAAACAGAAGCAGAATAAGCTAAGAGGCTTGAACCTGTGGTAATTCTAAATGAGGGGATATGTTCTCAGTCTGTTTGCTTCCTGCTTTTGAATTGTGGACTCTTCTAGAAAGTCAGTCATCTTAAAAGCAAGCAGGGTATGATATGTGTTTGGTGTTTGGGATGCGCTTGTGTGTAATTAATTGCTGCTTCCCCCCCTTTTCATCCATAGGTGACAAAGAAAGTCAAGTCCATGCAGATGTTCCATACTCCTGTGACTTACGCTATGCAGGGTGACAGAGTAGGTATCTGTGTAACCCAGTTTGATCCCAAACTGCTAGAACGAGGCCTAATTTGCACCCCAGAATCACTTCACACCATCCATGCTGCAATAATTTCCTTGAAGAAAATCCAGTATTTTCGAGGAGCTCTTCAGACCAAGGCCAAGTTCCATATCACAGTTGGTCATGAAACAGTGATGGGAAGAGTGATGTTTTTCAGTCCAGCCCCTGCTGACTTCAATGAAGAAATTAAAGAAAATGCTTTTGATTTTGAAAAAGATTATCTTTATCAAGAGGAATATTTGTCCAAGGACTCAAATCCTTCAGAGGAGAACAAAGAAAATGACCAGGCAGAAGTCCAGCTCCCAAGACACCAGTGGGCTCTGCTAGAGTTTGAAAAACCAGTCACTTGTCCTAAACTGTGCCTCGTGATCGGCTCCAAGCTGGATACAGATATTCACGCAAATACCTGCAGGTTGGCATTCCATGGGGTGCTGCTCCAAGGCATGGAAGACAAGAACTACACAGAGACTTTCCTTCCAAAGCTGAAAGTGTACAAACTGAAACATAAAGAAGGACAAGTGGAAAGGGTAAGCTGTCTTTTTAATGCTGTACATGGGAAGGGGAAACATTTGTTCTGTGTACCTAAGTGTATCAATGGGCTACAGAACTTTCACTGTTTTATGTTCTAGAGTCTTTATAAACATTTTTCTTATGTTTGCATGCCTAGTGTATTACATCTTGTTTGCTGGCAAACAGTCAGAAATTACTGCTTAAAAGGGACTGGTTTATTCAGTTCAATGCAGTGTTGAGTAATTCGATGCTGGTTTTTCATTGATCCTTTTGATGTCTAGCTGCTCTGTGCTTCCTGCAAACTTGCTGTGTTTCCGTACCGTACTGCTCATCTGTTCTCTCCCCAGTTGACAAAACTTCTAGCTTTCCATTGCCATGTTTTAAACAATTATTCTGCAGTATGTTAAAAAGGTAAAGACAATGTAAAATAATTAGAAAGTAGCATTAGATTAAATAACACAGGCTACTATGAATTCTTTTATGCGTTTTCACGTTTATTAAATAAGAACCTCAATCATTAACATTTATTTTAGTAGGCAAAAAGAATCTCCTACAAGATGCCTTACAGAGCTATAGCATGCTAAAGTTGGGATCAAGCTTGTTACATGGGGAACTTGGAGCCTTGATGAACGCACGTTGCTTCCATGTTGCACAGGCGTTAATCTGCTATAGCATATGTACTTGACCCACCTCACTGAGGCAGAAAATAGAGGTGCTTTCTGGAGGAGTTAGCATCTAGAGTAAAACTTAACTGGGAATTTTTACTGTTCCTTCAGTACAGATAGATACACTTTCTGTAGTGGTCTGGTATTATTAAATTGCTGTCACAAGTTTTGATCTTGGTGGTTACCTGTCAGTAAGCAGTGGAGAACCATTCGTTTATACGTCCCATAGTGGAATTTTTCATGAGGAATGGTTTTGGTGGAGATGTGCAATATATAAATAACCTGTTTACCCCTATATGAGCAGAGTTGATGTAAACTTTAGCAAAGGTATTAGTGCAGTAGGTATTTTATTAATTTTTGGGTAAAGAATTACTAATTTTTATTTTCCTAATCCAAGAGCTGATTGTTTGAAGAAAACATTCGGTGTTCTTACTTCTTTTCAAAATTCCATAAAGCTGTGTTGAGTACTGCGTAATTTTTCTCCTTACTTTACTGTAGGAGACTAAACACTTAGCCTACCTTACCATGTTTGCAATTTATAACACAGACTTCTTGAATACTTTTTTGTTTGTTTGCTTTACTAACTTGGTAGTAAAACAATAAACCAAAATCCCAGTCAGGCCATGATTTTGAATTAGTGAGGTTCTTTCCTAAATGCTTCACAACATTAATTGATCAAATGGGCAATTCGTATTTTTTCTCCCCTTTTCTGTGAAGTTTCTATGTTGCTGTTTTAGCCTATTTTTTAAAAAAAAGTAAAAAAAGGTTCTCCTTTGAACTTCCACTATTGGCTCTGGAAGCCATTCTTTTCAAAGGAGCTGCAGACCTGCGGTGGTGGTTTGGATGGCAGTTTTGTCACTAGGAAGGAAGGTAGGTAGGAGGAGAGCTGTAGCTTTTTGAAAATTTTGTCTCTATCGATATGGGTTATAGGGGTGTATTGTTTCCTTTCTTTGGAATGGCCGGCTGCCTTTCTCTTTGGCTGATGGTGATGCTGATCTATAACGAGTCCAAAGCATTCTGTCCTCTAAGCTGCAGAGCAGCTTAGACCAAATGTGCGTGTCTGGACACCAGTTCTTGGGATGCTGATCTGAACTCATGAAATGTTTGCCTTTATTGTTGCTGAAAATTTACTTGCTTGTGCATGGCCTATGCTGCTACTATCCAGAGAGACCTGGCTTACCAACTCTGGACACCAGTTCTTGGGATGCTGATCTGAACTCATGAAATGTTTGCCTTTATTGTTGCTGAAAATTTGCTTGCTTGTGCATGGCTATGCTGCTACTATCCAGAGAGACCTGACTTACCAACTCCTTTTGTTTCTCTGTGGCTGTAGGAATATGAATGAGAACAGAAGTTTGTGACCTACAGAGACACATGCTGCTTGTGTTTTGTTTAACTGGAAGGAACTGCTCTAGATTCTTTCTTTATTTTTGCTCCCAATGCATGGTACTAGTCTATAGGAGTTGAAAACTTGCAGAGTACCAGCGGTGTGGCTGGGTTAGAGTTAGCCGTTCACCTCGGTCATGCATTTTTAATTTTTATTTAGTGTTATTTTCAAATCCTTTGCCAGTTTACTTATTCTGCTATTGATTTTACTGTGTAAATAATGGAATAATGTTAATCAAATTACATGTGTTTTATTTTTCTAGTCAAGAAAATAACTAATGAATGTGGGTTATTGAACATTTGACCATCAGCGTCATTTACTAGGCTGGTATTAGTGAACTGGTTTGATATCTTCCCATGCCTTTTAAAATACAGAGCTGGGAGTTTTATTATTTCACCCTGTCTTCATCTGTCACACACTATGCCCTATATAGGAGCCTTGGTCACTTTCTGTAGGAATACTGATTGGCCCTGTAAATGAACAGTTGCCATTGAATAGTCTGTCTGCAGGTTAGGTTTGTTCTCGGATTCTGCCTCCTGTGGTAGTGTAGATACTCAGTCAGCATTTTCCTTGATGCGTGCCAAAAGGATGGTGGAGCGAATGTCATAAGAAGAGCTCACGGTGTAAAGTCACAGGGACACGCAGAGAGCTGGTGGGAAGAGGACTGTGCCAGTTTTAAAGGACCTGCTGGGGAAGTACTTACAGCATTACTTGAGGTAGCTACTATTATTAAGCGTGTGCTTTTGCAGAGCAGAGAGCAGCATGAACAATTGGGTGGTGCAGTCACTTATTTTAGTACACAAAGTCGCTAGCTAATAGAAAATCTGATTCAGCTGGTCCCACCCTGCTGCTGATGGATGGCTGGAGATTAGGATCGCTGAATTTAGGGTGTCTATTCTTGGCACCAATACAGGAAAATTTCTTTCTCTGTTGAGTAAGGAAGCTCCCCCCTCTTCACCTTCCCTGGGGAGGCATAAAAAATAATAATAATTAAAAAATACATATTACCTTCATGAGAAATGAACTTTTCCTCCAGAGAATACTGCTGGGGAAAATTAGCTTCATAGCTTCCTGAAAGGCTGGGCAAGAGGGAGGCAGGGGCATGTAATGCCTGCCTTCCCAGGTTCAGCACGGGGTGGAAACATGCTCTCAGAACCAGGCTGTAGTGGAATTCAATCGTACCCGTCTGTAAAACGCCGCAGCTAATCTGATGTGGGCTCTCCCAAGCCCCCCGCTTGCTGCTAGAATTAAAATAAATTCCCTGCAGTTTAACTACCAGTTTACCCAGGAGAAATCAGGCATTTATGGTTTGGCTTTTTGTTCCTATTTTGATTAATTTCAGAGCACTGATGGAATAGTAAGAATTGTAAATTCATTAAGTTTCAGCATCACAGTACTTTTGTGCCCCTTGTGCATGGCACCCCCCTGGATTTTAAGGTTTGTTGGGGTTTTTTTAATAAAAGAAGAACATTTATTCTCAAAGATTTTTTGGCAAGTGTGACATTTTTGCTGTTTCACATACAAATTAAATCTATGAACTGGATAAACACAATATTTTAAAAAGGTCAAAAAAATCATAGTTAAACTAGCAAATGGTCTTGAACTAATACATTTTATTGAAAAGTCATGCCTAAGCTTCCTGTTTTTTCTCATCTGCTCAAGTGGTGGTAAACATTCTACAAAAATTCAAGTACCCTTGTACTTCTTTTGTACTGCTTACTGTTTCCTTTTGGTATCTTGCCTTTTTAATGCTAAGCCTTGAGTGGAGCACTGGGAGAGAAAGAATCAAACCCTTACTACTGCTGTTCACCAGGATTTTGAATTTACCTGTCTGCAGCATATTCTTGAGCCTCTCTTTTCACATCTTTGCTTAGTTATCTGTTGATTTATTTATATTTTTTTTTAGGTATGTATTAGTGTAGTATCTGAGAAATTTGGCTTTAAAACATTTACTATCTGCCTTCTTGGTTAAGTTTGTGTTGTCTGATATGCTGCACAATGCAGGAAACTTCCTTCTAACACAATGGGGTGTTTTGGGGTCTGTGCTGGGATTGCATCTTGGTTACAAAAAAAGTTGGCACAATTCAAACCAGAGTGAGGATTTTATCTGATATTTTTGACTTGTTGTAGAGTATGTGAATGCTTCTGTTTTGCTTTAGACTAGATTTGGTTTGGTGTTAGAGTAAGTCTTTAGGGGTTAGTTTTAAGGAAAACCAAAATCTCCCATTCTCTCAGAACTAAGAGGGCACTGGCAAAGCTTTCTATTTGCTTAACTGGATGATGTTAAAATGATGTGAAATACAACACCAGTGTTCTGTTGCAGAGAGGACTTGAGATGGGAGAAGTTCTAGTGGAAGGAAGTTTCTGTTGGGAGCATCTTTCTGGCATGGTTATGTGGAGGCAGGCTGTTGTCCTCTGGACACTTCATTTTTGCAAAACCTTGGCTGCCTGACAAACGTACTTTTAGTAGGAAAAAGCTAGGCTGGCAACAAGTGGCTTGTACTGATAAAAAGGTAAAAGCAGGGCTGAGAGTGCTATTGTGAACACCAGTGTTGCTTTAAGGAGTGCGATGTGGGAATCTTGGTGAAAAAAGGGAAAATGAAATGCTGTGAAAAAAGTTTATCCCTCTGAATTGGCATACAGTGGTGACTGTGAATGTGGGCTTGCTAAACTGTAGCAGGGCAGCAGCCCCTGGGGTCGGAGACAAGCAAACTATGCAAACAGCAACTGTTGTCCTTGGTCTTGTGATTCTGGAGACAGGCTGCTCACCAGCTGGCTCTTCGCAGTTCTGCAGGCAGAGACTTGTATTAATCCTAACACACAATCTCTGAAATATCTTCCTTGCTGAATTTTACCTCTACACAGTGTTGCAGATTAATTCCAGTCTGACTCATGAAGCAGTTACTCAGTTCCTGGGATAAATCCTTTATATTTTCACATTATTTGCTCTTTGGCTTCCATGGAC